ATTTGGGGTTTTCTTGGCAAATATACTGAAGTAGTTTGCCATTTCCTTTTCCAGTTCATTTTACAAATGAGGAAACTGAGGCAAAGTTAAATGACTTGCCTAGAGTCACACAACTAGTAAGTATTTGTCTAAGGCCAGATGTGAACTTAGAAAGATGAATCTTCCTGATGCCGGGCCCGATATTCTATCTGCTGTGCCACCTAATTGCCCTGATTATATCAATGGATGCAGAAAAATCTTTTTAAAAATACAATACCCATTCCTGTTAAAAACACTAGAAAATATAGTACTAAATAGAACCTTTCTTAAAATGATAAGTAGTACCTATATAAAACCAACAGCAAGATTTATGTATAATGGGGAAAAAAAATTTTTATAGCAAGTGTCTCTGATAAACACCTCATTTCTCAAATATAGAGGGAACTGAGCCAAATTTATAAAAATAAGAGTCATTCCTCAATTGATAAATGGTAAAGGATATGAATAGGCAGTTTTCAGAAGAAGAATCGAAGCTATCAATAATCATATAAAAATATTCTAAATCATTAATAATTAGAAAACTGAAAATTAAAACTCTAAGCTATCACTTCATACTTATCATTGGCTAACATGACAGAAAAGGAAAATGACAAATTCTGGAGGGGATATGTAGAAAATGGAACATAAATGCACTGTTGGTAGAGCTGTCAACTAGTCCAACCATTCTGGAGAACAATTTAGAACTATGGCCAACGGGCTGCAAAACCATACATGCCCTCTAACCTAGCAATACCACTACTAGGCCTGTATCCCAAAGTGATCAAAGAAAAGGGGAAAAGACCTATTTGTACATAAATATTTATAGAAGCTCTTTTTTAGGTGGCGAAGAATTAGAAATTAAGAGGATGCCCAATAGCTGGGGAACAGTTGAATAAGTCGTGCTTTATGATTGTGAGGGCACTATAGGAAATGATGATTAGGATGTTTTCAGAAAAACCTGGGGGGACTTATATGAACTGATACAAAGTGAAGCAAGAACATTTTATACAGTAACAGCAACACTGTAATCATGATCAAATATGAAAGACTTAGCTACGCTGATCAAGACAATGATCCAAGATAATTCCAAAGGACCCATGATGAAAAATGCTATGTATCTCCAGAGAGAGAACTGATGAACACTGAGTGCAGACTGAAGTATACTTTTTCCACTTTTTAAAATTTTTCGTGCTTTTTTGGTGTGTTTTCTCTTGCAACATGGCTAATAAGTTTTGCATGATTTCACATGTATAATCAACATTGCATTGCTTGCCTTCTCAAGAGATAGGGGAAGAACAGAGGAGGGAGGGAGAGAATTTGGAGCTCAAAATTTAAAAAAATACATGTTAAAAATAAAAATGTATTTGGGAAATATTTAAATACAATAAGTAAAAATATATTTTTAAAACTCATATAAAAACATATTTCCAATACTATTTGTACAAACAAAATCAACATAACAAGGATAAGGAAGGAAGTAGTAGATTGGGAAATCTTTGCATCAAATACCTCTTATAAGGGTCTAATATCCATGATACGCAGGAAACTAACATAAATACACAAAAACATGTTATTCACCAATGGAGAAGTATTTAAAGAGATGAACAAACAGTTATCAAAAAGAACCACTGCAAACTGTTAACAACTGTATAACAGAATGCTTCAAATCACTAAATAAAAGAAAAGCAAAGAAATCAAAACAACCCTCAAGTTTCACGTTACAACTAGAAAATTGGAAAGGAGCAAAAGACAGAAACAGACAGCATTTGGGAGAGTATAGAAAGAGGCACATTTGACATATTTTTGACAGAACCATGAATGTGTATAACCATTCTGTAAAGCAATTTGGACTTATGCATATAAAGTGACCATAATATTCATACCTTCTGACCCAAAAATCTTCTACTGGGTATATACTCTGAGGTCACTGATAAGTAGAATGTCTCTATACACATCAAAATATTTATAGCTGCACTTCTTATGGTAGCATAGAACTGGAAAATAGATGTTCATAATATGGGAAATGGCTAAACAAATTATGAAACATGAATGTAATTAATGGATTACTGAGTTGTAAAAAAAAAGCATAATAATTACAGGAACATAGAAAGCCTTAAAACTGATTATAAGTGAAATAAGCAGGGACAGGAAAACAATAAATATACAAATGTCTACAACCAAAAATTAGTAAGAACTGAATAGGGTAAAACTATAAAGAATAGGCTTAACCCCCAAAGAAGAGACATGAGAAGATACCTTTCCCCATTCATCTGCAGAAGTATCCACAGGTGTGCAACACCACAGATAACATCAGATTGTTCTCTATATGTGGAATGGTTTTGCTGTAAATATAGGAAATGTAAGAACCAAAGATAGCCATAAAAAATCTTTAAAAAACAAAACAAGGAACCATATTAAAGACTCCTCTAAGACACTGATAAGAGTAGTGGAGATCAAAACGACTCCAAGATTTCATTCCCATCCTTTGGCAAAGATGACCAAAAAACAGAAATGCCCTATCTATGAGATATGTTAGAGGGACTTTAAGAAGATAGGAACCACTAATATACTACTTGTGGAGATGTGAACTGGTCCAATCATTCTACAAAGCATTCCCTTCAACTCAGAGCTTCCATTGCTAAGCATATGCCCCAAAGAGCTCACTTACATTAAAATATTTATAGCATCTCTTTTTGAAACAGCAAAGAACTGGAAACAAAGTAAATGTCCACCTACTATGGAATGGCTAAACAAGTTGTGGTACATAAAGGTACTGGAATATTACTTTGCCACAAGAGAAGCATGGGATATTTATATGAATTAATATAAAGTGAAGTAAGTACCACCAAGAAAACAATATACACAGAGTCTACAACAATGTAAATTGAAAAAACAGCCAAAACAAAACAAACTGAATACTATGTAATTATAAGAACCAAACTTAGCCCCAAAGAAGAGTTGTAAGAATATATCACCCTTTCTACTTTGTAGAGGTGAGGGGCTATGGATTAGGAATAGTGGATATAATGGTGGATCTTACTGATGTGTTGGTTAGTTTTACTAAACTGTTTTTTTCCTCTTTTTAAAAATTCTTTGTTAAAAGGGATAGATCTTTGGAAGAGAAAAGAAGGAATACAATGGGAAATGAAAGTGAGGTTTAAAAAAAGATAGCAATAAAACCCCTTTTTTTTTAATTTTAAGAAAGCAAATCAGGGATTATTAAAAAGATTACTGAGCAAGAGAAAGTATCCAGTTATAAAACTGCTGTTTTATAACTATATATTAAAAAAAATTAAGAAGGAAAGAAACGAAAGTAGTTTTTTTTTAGGATGTATTGTACAGTACATGATTATTTGAAAAAGATGATGTGCTAGGACCTAAATACACCATTAAAACCTAAAATGCACCATTAACTGACAAAATTAGAAGAATTTCTTGTAGATTCCTTCATTCAACCCAACGTGCACAGTACCTCTAGAAGCCTGTAAGAATCCTGAAGTAACCAGCTGGAGAACATCAAAAGCTATTACAAAGCAGCCCCAGGGCAACTGGAAAGGCAACCTAATGCCAAGTGGAGCCCAACTGTGCCTTGTTGAGGACAAGGGAAAGGTCTCTAGGCAAAGATTAGTCCAGGTGATCCTAAAGACCCATTGCAGGGGGTCCAGAATAAAAGTATTACAGCAGCCCTGAGCCCATTAACAAGGAAAGACCTCAAGTAGAGCCCAATACAAGAGGCAGCCTGGAGGTCTGAAACTGGGACTGTGTCTTGCCCATCAATATCAGCACCCGGGCAGTATCTGCCCATTTTCAGGAATGCAGGAACAGAGCCTGACCCAAATACAGGTCCCATGACCCTGTTGCTAAGGCTGAGATGAGCAAACCAAAGGCAAAAACACATTATTAAGAGGAAATACATTGGCCTAAGAGACACCCAAGATGTACCCTGAGGAAAAGAAGGCCCTCACAATAGGTCTAACTAAAACCAGGAGAAAAAATGTGCTGGCCACAAGGACTACAAGAGTACCTGGAAGAAATAAAACGATACACAAAACAGAAGAGCTAGGGAGGGAAAAAAAGGGCAGACTGGACTTGATGGTCAACAATCATTCATGACTCATTATCTACCAGGTATTGTGCTAAGCACTGGAGAGAGAAAGAAAGGTAAAAACATAGTCCTTCTCCTCAAGGAGCTGACATTCTAATAGGTAAACGCAGCATGCAAATAACTATGCATGTGCAAGATCTATTCAATATGAATGGAAGATAATAACAGAGGAAAGGCACGAGCACAGTGGGAAGAAGTCTAGCAGAACGTGGGATCTGAGATGAATCTTGAAAAAGCAGGAAAGCTCCAAAGCAGAGGTGGAAAGGAAGAGCATTTCAGGTATCTTGGACAACTAGTGCTACATATTCTTGTTAACCTGACATCTGTGATTAGATGCAAAGTAAAGTGAGCAGAACTGCCGAACAACTTACAAAATGACAACAACATTGTAGAGAAAAAGAACTTTGAAAGACTTTAGAAATGTGATTAATGCTATAATAAGCTATGAATCCTGAGAACTAAAGATGAATCATACTCTCTATTTCCTGCCAGATTGGTGATGAACTTAAAATACGGAATGAGACATGCAGATTTGGATATCACCAGTATGGAAACTGGTTGTTAGGATTTTGTTTTCTTCATTGTTCAAGGGGGGCAGGGGGCAGGATAATTTTTAAAAGAAAAAAGATAAGTTAAGGAAGGCTGAAACATACTTGGAATTTAAATCAATTCAGATATTTATTAAGCACCTGTTATTTGAAAGGCATTGTGTTAAGGCCTGGAGATGCACAGATTCAAATACTACAGTCCTTGCCCTTAAGAAGAGACTACAGTCTAATGGGGAAACTTCAAAAATAAGCACAGTACAAGGTACAGTGAAACTAGGGTAAAGGCAAAAGTGAAGAGCTAAGAACTTTCAGTTGGGGACAAGGAATAAGGAAAGGCTGATGAAAGGTATGTGACATCTATACCAAGTCTTGAAGGAAGAAAAAGACCTGAACCAGTGAAAATGAGGAGAATTAATTGTAGGTGTTATAAGACTTTTAAATTTCCTCTCTAGTGGCTTTGGGGTGGCAATTTTATTTGTAAGGAAAATCATGTGGCTAAATGAGGCTTTCCCTATGTAGAATTTAACTGAGACCTCCAAATGATTTAATCCAGATGATTACCTGTTTAGGAGCAAAAGAATCTGACGCAGTTTTATAATAACCATTTGTTAATTATAAATTCCAAAGTAACTTCTTTCAGTATTTGTTAATCAATGTAAAACTTAATCCTGATGGAATTTTTCCCCTTCTGCTATCTTTTGAAATATGAACCTTCTTCCTCTTTAGCCTACCATAACTATTAGAGGCATTTTTTTTAATGTAAATCCTTCCCTTTTGGCAGTTGTAAACTTTAGTTACATTTTTTTCCTTTGATATAACTAAAAACTATAAGAATTATAAAAACTCTTATCAGGTGCCCAGTGGTGAATTTTAGATACCCTGAGCCCGTGCAGGGCATATAACAAACCTTGATTACCTCCCAGATCTCCTGTTGATGGTTTTGATTGGTAGGAGTACCTGTAAATTAATCCTTAGACAATTCCATATTACAGGCTGAGGGAAAGGCTATGCAAATACATGGAGGCAAAAAAGAATGACAACACCAAGAAATATCTCGTAGGCCAGCAATCTGTTCAATCAACCAACAAACATTTTTTAAGTTCCTACTTGAGTCCAGGTACTGGACTAAGCACTAGAACACTGAGGCTGCAAAAGGAAGTAATATGAAATAATGCTAGAAAGGTAGGCTGAGGCCATATTATAAAAGGCCATAGACACTAGCTAAGGAATTTGCATTTTATCCTAGAGTCAACAAGGGGCTTCTGAAAGGTTTCTCAGTTGGCAGAGTCTTTTATAAGGATTATTTTGGCAACTGTTAAGGATGGGTTAAGAAATGGAGAAACTAAAGATAGACCACTAAAGATTGCCTTTTGCCTAAACTATTTATGATAAATACAGTGATGGTCTGAAGTAGGGTGGTGGCCATGCCAGTGAGATGACAGCAATCTAGCCTCAAAACTGGCCTTTAAATAGAAAGTTGTGATTGAGAGTTTTCAATAAAAAGAATATATTAAAGTTTCTCAAATAAGCCTTAAATAAAGCAAACTAAAATATCCATTGACTCCATTATGTTACTTAGCTGACATACATGTAGATGTGACACTTTGATTTACTATGCTTAAATTTGAATTTATATAAATTACTTTGTTGTACTGAGAACTCAGGGAGCGAGACCCAGACACAATTTGAAATGTGGATTTATTAGCGCACGGCTGCAAGGAGTACACACCCAGATCGAGCAGCCCTGATCAGGGGCAGAGCTTGGGTTTATAAAGGCAGAAGCCACAGAGTAAACAGTCAGGGGTTGTGTAAGCGGGAAGTTACAGAAGCCAAAAAAGTGACTGGTTAATCCTGCCTTAAAGACAAAATAATTAGACTAAACATTAACTTTTTTAATCCCCTTATCTAATTTTCTCCAATAATCATAAATTGTCTCTTCCATTTATCCTAACTCTTCAACCTGATCCTCTGATTTTATAGTTTCCCACACACTTTGAACATACTACTTTTTCTAGTTCACTGAGTTTTCTTTTGTCTATGTGTACATGTAAAACAATCTTTTCATGTTGCTTCCAATTCTTGTCTTTCGATCTTCTCCTGAATTCCTGAATTCACCAATTGCCTCTGATGCAAATTTTTATTTTTAAAAAACTGGCCGGGAATATGACAATGTCCTATTTACTCCCCTTATTCATTATCTTCCCACTTTTCATCAGTCAACAGGTATTTGTCAAAGCCTTACACTGGATCAGCACTGCCTTAGCCACTACTGAGGATACAAAGTATAAGGTACAGTTCCCTACCCACAAGGGGCAGCTATTTCTCATCCCTGTAGTTGTTTTAGACATAAGTTTGAGATGTCTAAGAGGTAGTCAATGATGTGAGAGACTGGAGGCTCAGGAGAGAGGCTAGAGCTGGATAAATAGAACACGCATAGAAATAAGTGAACTCACTGGGAATTGAAGAGATCATCAAGCAGGATAGTAGAGAGGGAGACAAAGTCCAAGACAGATTCCTGAGAGACACTCGTGGTTAAGGGGCACAACCTATATGAAGACTCAGCAAAAGCAACTCACTAGTTGTTAGGCAGGTAGGAGAAGAATTAGAACAATGTCAGGAAAACAGAGACAGGAGAGTATCCAGAAGAGACTGATCAACACTGTCAAAAGTTGCAGAGAGGTCAAGAAGAATAGAAATGGATAAAAACAGATTTGGCAATTAAGAGAATGATGATAATTCTAGAGAGCAATTTAAGCTGAATGATGATGTCAGACACCAGACTGCAGAGGGTTTAGAAGTGAGAGGAAAGAAAACAGGCAGTTAGTGTAAATGTCTTTCTTAAGGAATTTAGACTCAAATGGGAGGAGAAAGCAGACTCGAGAGATTTTTTTTAAGGATGAGAGAAAAAGGAGTGTTTTTAGGCAGCAAGAAAGTACAGTAGGATAGGGGGAAAATGGAGATTAGTGAGAAAAATTGGAGATTAAGATAATAAAAGAGAACAATCAGCTGAAGGACTTAGAATGCATTCACATGGGTACATTTAGAGCGGTCTGCCTTGGCAAGAAGGACCATGTGACACAGGTGGAGGAAAAAGGGAAAACAATCTGAGTGACATGAGACTGTTACAGTAAAAAAGGATTTTGCTTTTATCCATCATTTTGTGAAGCTAAGTTTCAGATGCCTATATGTCACCTGATTTTAAGTCACAAGATTAATCCCCTGTCCCAAAGGTCACTCAATTTTAAAAATGTCACAAAACTAATAATCCCTCTTCCTCTCACCTCAGTGTCTCCCAACATGGTCCTCTCCCACCCCCCAACAATAAGAAACCAGGTGCCAAAATCCCTATAATCCTGTTTTTCCCTCCCTCCAAATTGTATTAACTATGAGAAACCAGGCTTCTGGGTCCTTGGTTTACCTAGAACCTTAGGCCCTGTTTTGTTTGTTTGTTTGTTTTTTGGCAGCTGAATACATTGCTAAATAAATAAGATGTCATCAGCCCTGCTGACAGTGGTGCAATAAAATTCCAAAGTAGCTCCCAGGCAAGGTGGGAAAACTTACAAATTTGCTTATAGTAAAGAGTGAGTTTCATCTGAGATTATTTGGCTATCACTTATGAAAATGATGAAATTGTACCTGTTAATAAATAGTCTGTACTGAAGTTACCTAATCTTTGAGCCAATTTAGTAACCATAAACCTTAGATTCAAAGACTTCAATCTTCTCTTAAGGGTGAACGGGCAATACAGATGGAAGGCTTACTATAGTCAGCATTTTTCTGGGGGTTTTGAGTCAGCTATATGGTATTCACTGCATGTGTTCAGAATGTGGTTATTCTTAATTTATAGATGATATTTCCTTATATTTGCTCATTGTTAAATGTTATTAAAACATGAGAAGAACCTAGCCCTAACTTGTGATTCGTGAAATTTTGTTATTGAGGTAAAATGTTCTGGGATTATAATTGATACAGTTCTAAGTTTTGATTTCAGGAATGGCTGAGAGGCAGCTGGGTGGCACAGTGGGTAGAGTGCCAGGCCAGGAGTTAAGAAGACTCATCTTCCTGAGTTCAAACCTGGCCTCAAGCACTTGTTAGTTGTATGACCTTCAGCAAGTCACTTAACCTTGTTTGCCCCAGTTTTTTCATCTGTAAAATGTGCTGGAGAAGAAAATTACAAGCCACTCTAGTACCTTTGCCAAGAAAACCCTAAATGAGATCACAAAGGGGACAGACTCAATTGAAAAACAACTCAACAGCAACAACTGTCTTAACTGTTATTAAGCCAATAATCCACCATTCAAAGAGAACACCAGCTGCTGCCCAAAGGGAGTGCAGTCAGACAACTGGTACAGGTGGATGTCTAATGCAGGAAGGAGCCTTGTGACTCAGTTTCCATTGTGCTATTTCCTTTCTGAACAGTAAATTTTCTGAGCTTGGCCATTATACACTGTGAACAATGTGGAACTTTGCTGCATGAATAGCTGTTAACTACGACTCTTGCCTGAAATCAAAAAGACCTAAGGGAGTTTTTCCCCCTTTGTTATGGCTTATGTCAGACCAATCTGCACCCTTACAGGAAGTCCTGATACTGTCATAACCACGTCCCTCGTTTTCCTTTTTTAACAAATTTCTATAAGTGAAGCAGGTAAATAATTAATGTCTTCCATTTCAATACTAAATACATTAATACTAAAACATCTGTGTTACTATAAGAGGATGCAAGCATGAAAGATCTTAACTGTTTTCAAGCTGAATTTATAGTCAATTCCATATCCTACATAACTAGGTAAAAAAGTTCTTAACTTTTTTGCTACTAATTATATATTCATATGTAAGATTAGGTTCTTAAAGCATTTCATTCTTTCAGGATGATATGGGAATAATATCTTCAAAAGGTGGAATGGGACAAAGATGTAAAAGTTTTCTAACTAAATAGAATAGTAAATTTTGAGGAAGCAACAAGTCAGACTTTTCTATAAGAACTAGGGATTATGTGTGTATGTGTGTGTGTGTGTGTGTGTGTGTGTGTGTATAAAAAAATATATATATATATATAAGTATATGTATATATGTATATGTATGTGATTGGTTTCCAAATCTTTCTAATAGAATATATAGGCTTTAAGTTGGTTTTAGTAACAAGTTCTCAAAATTGGATTAAGGATTTTACATTTAAAATCAAATTGATAACTGTAAAGAAAGTGAAATTATTTTCTTATTTTGAAGTCTTTGTCTGATATTTTAAGCCAAGTCAGGCTCCCATGGATTCTTTTTAAGATTCCTCCTTCAGTCCATTGATGGCAGTCTCCATATCAGGTACAGGATTTAGGTAAAGACAGAAAGAGCAAGTGGTATGTAAAACCAGAAAATTTTCTAAAGTTTCAAGTGAATTATAGGTTACTAATTTGATGCTCATCTTATAACTATTTTTAATAGGATCAAAACTATAAGAATTGAGCTGGTTTTTGTCACATGAACAAGTTATTGGAAAAGCAAATTTAGGAAGTGGTACTAAATTGTATTAAGTCTTGTTACTGGCACATTCTAGCAGAATTACCTGGGAATCTCTAAAAGTGACTTGGAACCTGATAAGATCTACTAGGAGGAACACCCTTCAAAGCTTCCCTGAGAACGAGACCTATTTCAAAATGTCCAAGGGAAGATGTTTCTGGGAACTACATGATTATATTGGACATCTGGGACTCAAGATGAAATGTGTTGATTAAATAGACATTGGGAGTGGGTTCCAGGTTACAAGGAAATGATGTCAATATTGATGATCATTATTGTATTACTGCAGTTTTTTTGTTTCATGGTGTTTATGTTTGCTGAGTTTTCTTGGTGACCTTGATGACATGTAAATCTCCTCTCTCAAACTGGTCCATGGTGAACCCTTTAAATATAGTCTGATCTACAGCCTGCCTTAGTTTACCTATAAAGTCTATTTAACAAGGTTTGTCTCCTTAGGGGTTATATAAGATTTTAACTCTGCTTGTACTCTTTGTGTCTCTTACCCTACCCTTTTGATGCCTCTTAAGGTAGGCTACCATTCCATCCAGAAATCCCTAGTAGATAAAGCTTTAAATAAGTGATCCTGGCGTTTGAGTAGCCCAAAGTAAATAATGTTACATTAAAAATGAGCATGAGTAACTCCATTTTACTTTTATCCACCATTTTGTGAAGTTAAGTTTCAGCTGCTTTTAAGTCACCTAATTTTAAGTCACAAGATTAATTCCCCCCTCCCAAAGGTCACCAGATTTAAGGAATGTCACAAAACTAACCCCTTCCTTTTCACCTCAGTGTCCCCTGGGTCCTTAACTTATAGGCTTTTTTGTGAATGCCATGCTAAATAAATCATTTGTCTGGATGAAACTTGGTTGCTTTTTTTCTTTCCTACCATAGCAAGACGATGAGAAGGAGTTCTTGTTGAATGGCCTCATTTTTTGGTTAGGCATGAAACAAGGTTCTCAGGTGGGGAGTTGGGGAGGGTACAATAGGATGTCTGAGGAAGGATGAAAAAATTTGCAACAGCCACTGTGGGGAGTGGGGCAGTGAATGGAATAGGGAGGATAAAAGGGTTGCCTTGTTGCAGTGAGGGTCTACTTAGGATTATGTAATATAAATCTATATTGGATTCAGTTGGCATAGTTTTGTGTGTCTGAAGGCTGGCTCACAGAGAATTAAAAATTAAATCAGAAATTCAGATTATAAACAAACTTAATGGCACTTTTGTTCTTTGCTTTTGCCATGAAGCTTATTCTGAACTAATGGCTCTAGGAAAGTTCTTTTAATAGTTTAACCAAGGCCATAAAAGCAAGGCTCAAAATCCTCCATGGGGGTGAGTCATATTTCCTTTTCTCTATACTGTATCCCATCAACCAATAGCTCAAGGATGTGAAATTTTAAGTCTTAGAAGGGAATTAAGAGATAACATATTTCTCCACCAATTAATGCCTTAAAACCCTGAAGATCAAAGAAAATTAATACATCAGAGATGAGTTCTCTCACATATAAAAGGGGAAAGCAGAGAGGGAAGTTGAATATTCTATGAAGCCACTGTACTTTCTAACAAGGCCTAAAAGCAGCATATTCTAGTCTGTTTGAAAGCATTATCAGAACTCTCCCCACCCACTCCACTTCTAACCTTCCTAAGGCCTCAGTCCTCCATCAAATTACCCTTTAATACATATCATTTGAATATGTGAGATCGTTGTTTGTTTGGTTTGGGGTTTTTTTTGGGGGGGGAGGGAAGGCCAGAAGTCTCACCTACTAGGATTGCTAATTTATCACATAATTATTCATTTGGAGAAGTATTTGGCACCAAAAGCAGGAATCAGAAAGAGAAGGAATACTTAATATCTCCTTTTTCATTTAAAAACCACATCCTCAAACAAGAAGGCAAGGAATGTCTCTCTTGTGGTACATAACTCCTAGCCAAAATGCCTAAAAAATTTGAGGTACACTTGAACTAAATACTTGCTGGTTCTTTAACTCAGTCTGAATAAAATTTCAGTGGCTTTTTGCTACCAAAATAGTATGGCCAAGTCTACATGATTAAAAGAACTAGCACCACAGTAATGGCAGATGCAATATTGGTCAGTCATCTTAATTGCTAAAACAAATCATAACATGGGTGATCCTGTATAGACAGTCACAATTCAACTGCATTTTTTCCAAAAAGATATGGCCTAAAAATGACTCTTAGGTTTGTCTTCAAATAAAGTTCCAAGAGACTTGGGTAGTCTCAAGGGAAGAAATATACATATCTCTGAAAATTCCTGGGTAAGCCAACAACTGAAAATGCAAGATTGCACTTTGAGAACAGACACTACCACTATGAGTAGAAAGTGAGTTACATTTAATATTATAGCCCATCTGCGCCAACAATAAACACATTTTTATCCTTCATATTAAAAGACAACAGCAATATAAAATGGTTTGTGTGGTAATTCTGAAGTTATGCCAAAGCCATTTACATTGCTATTTCTAAGAGAAGTCTTCACTTCCTCATAAAGGCCAAAGCAGCATTCTATAGTCTATTTGAATATATCACCAAAACAATGTTACAAATATATAAAATGCACTTCTCTCCAGCCTACCACCTCCAACAAAAGACAGCTAGGAAGACATATATGATGAATTTTTATTATGGAATGATGAATTAATTTCTATTTTTCATTATATAAGAAACAAAGTATCTTGGCAAAGCCAAGAAATTCAAACTAATCCAGAGTAAATCAAATTTTGCTGTTTTGGAGCCCTTTTTTTGTGAGAAAGGATTCTACACCTACAATCTCATCCCAGTAGGGAACTCCTCTCAAAGAAATTTCCTTTACCAAGAAACATTTGCATTTGGTCTGCAATTTTTATTCTTAGAGTTATCAAGGGCTCAGAGAGGTTAAATGAATCGTCCAAGGTCACAAGGCTAGTACACATCAGAAACAATACTTGAAACTTGGTTTCTTTTATTTGTGGCCAGCCCTCTATCCATAACTGTCATGATGACTCTCAATATATAATAATTAATACAAGTAAAAACTGGCATTATTATGCTTTTAAATGTGTGAGCTGAGTCAATTGTTTCCTAAAGCCACAATAAACTGGCTTCATTTGATGCCCTAAACAGAGTATTAGTAAAACGAAGTATGCCAGAGTTTGAAATGGTGCAGAAAAATTACAGATTTTCTCAAAACAAACAAAAATTAAAACCAATTCCAGTTGGTTTACGATAAGAAAACATTAACTGTTCCTACATTTAATCTCTTAATTTATTAGTGAAATAAAATGATTAGATATTAAAATTTAGAGCAATTGTATACAAGAAGGCAGTCTTATAAAAGATCATAGATTTTTAAAAATAATCACATAATAACGTGTTGAAAAATGCTAGAGACACTATATTTAAGCAACAAATTTATGAGATGATAAAAGTTAAAAAAATTAAATCACAATACAGAGCCTGAAAAACTTGTCAAGTCTTTTTTTCTAATTACCTAACTTAGAAAAAAAATTAATTGAAGCTAGAAATTATTTTGTTTTCAGACAATGGAAATACTTGTACTCATGTATTAGAAAGACAAAACTGCCTCAAATTAATTCTTATTAATAATGTCAGTAAATAAGTTAACATTCTGGAAAGGATTATCAGCTACAAATAATTCTTGAGCTGACAAATGTCAGAAAGATAGAATGATGGAACATAAAATTATAAATATGAAACTAAGATAATGCTATCAACCACTAGTGCTATGATGCTAAAAGGAATGCATTCAGACAAATTTCAAAATGCACAACTGATTAATGAAATACAAGATTTAAACAATGACACTAAGATGTAGAGGAAGGAATTACTCAAAATGTCATTCAACTAGAGAGCTAACCAGTTTAAAAATTTAAAATCAAGCTAAAGAAATCAAGTCAATGTTATTCTAGTTGTAGGTAAAGCATACATGCATAATAAGACAATTTTCAAGCTAAAAAATAGCCAAGACCTGTTTGAAATACTATATTTTTACCACTTGCCTTCATTTCTAAGTACTGACACCCAATATATTTAAGGAACTACAGTGTGCTGTATACTTGGTCTTCGAAGAGGATAAATGACTTCGACGTTTAAAATAAAAAAAACCTCTGTGATTAATCAAATGTCAAAAGTATCATATACAACCTATACTTGCTTTTATAGCCTTTAAAAAATAAGCCCGTGCAGAATCAAAATGCTAAGTCACTGAGGACACGTGGGTGTGTATAAGCTTTAAAAAGCTTAAAACTGCATTGAACTGCTGCAGATCTAAAAATGCTTGTCTTCTATTACTAAAACCTATGACATTCGATCCCACCCTTACTCCATAATGTGAACAGATTTTAAAGTTTACATTTTGAATTTGGTACAAGCATGTTTGCAGGAAATTTATACTTTAGGAAAAACTGATAGAAGACATGGGAGGACAAGATGATGACAGAATGTGGAAAACAATGCAGCGGGTCAAGGACACAAGAAAAATGCAAGGGCTGGGAAGACAAAGGCCGGATTGGGATAACAATGATATACAGAGAAGAATAAATGCAAAGTTGCCCGGAGCATCAGGTCAGTTTGAGGAAATGGGAGAGGTGAAAGCAGGTTTAGCAGAGTTATGTCAATGCTACTGCTGGAGAAGACCCGCGTAGTGACAGCACAGCAGTAAAGGAAGGCGCTGTGGCAAGCCAGGGGAGGAGAAGGAGGACGGGCGACGTTCTGGGCAATTCTGTACAAATCCAAAGGCTTTGGGAGGAGTGGGAGGGGTGGGGGTGCAGAACAAGCCCCCCCCCGGCAAAGGATTGGGGGGTGGGGATGGGATGGAGATGGGGGGGCGAAAGTGGGGGAGAGACACAGCTGCCTAAGCCCCCAAAACACGATCAAACCCATCCCAGACTGCGACATGACGCCTGGGGGACGCAAGGGCACGAGGGACCAAGGGAGCCCACCTGAGCCGGCCCGGGGGCCGGAGGAGGGCCCGACCTCCGGCTAATGTCAGTGCAGCCGCAGCCCCGCAGGGAGGCAGCCTGGCCGGGCTCCCCTCTCCTCGGGCCGGACGGAGGCTCTCCAAGTCCTTCGGAACCCCGGACCCCGGGGAGGGGGGGCCCGTAGCCCGAGGAGGCACCGCCCCCACCCCCAAATTCGGAGGAAACAGAGAACGGAGGATCCAAGTAAAGAAAAATCCTCTCACCGAGACCCGCAGCGGGTCCGAGCCAGGAACAGCGCACGTCCCGCCACCCGCCGCCGCCTCCTCCCCACGTAGGGCAGCAGCTACCAGGCCCCGCCCCACCCAACGCGGCGGCGGAGGCTGCGAGCTTGCAAAACCCCTCCCTCCCTGCCTAATCTGGGCCAATGGGCATAAAGAACCTCTGCCAAAGAAAGATAGGCACCCAATCCGAAGGGGAGGAAGCAAGGAGATGTGGGGCTGTGAGTGGGCGGAGCGGGGCAGAGGAGGAAGAAGGAAGCAATGTCTGAAGCCCCGCCTCCCTCGAGAAAAACTCCTTCGATTGGCCGAATAGTCCCAGAGCTGAGAATGACTTTCTCACCAACCTTCCTCCAGAATGCCGACTTAGAGCCGGAGCGCTCAGCTGGGGGCAGGGTTCTGCAGTGGTGGGCGGGGCGCCTGGGCCGTACCAGGGACTCAAGGGGCGGAGACCAAGAGAAGAGGCGGACACATTCAACACTGCAGAGGTTAAAAATAGAGACTAGGGAAATAGGAGGTGGCAGTCGCTTTACTACAGCAGGATTCTGTGGGGAAGCATCGCTAATAGTTTATTTCCGCAGGGACAAAGAAAGTTTGGGTTTTTTGTTTTTGTTTTCGTTTTGTTTTCAGTTTAGC